CCTTCCCTTCTCTATAAACATAAATAAAACTTCTTTTAAAACAATAAGGGTTCTATTACTAAAGGGGAGGCATGTTGAAGAGGAAAAAACAACAGGCGTCTACTGATGCGTGGGTCACCGGCCAGCAGTGACCATGGAACGCTGTGGATGGCTCGTCGAAAAACACGCGAGAAAAAACATGCACAGAGACAGACTAATTTCTGTGGGGAAGTAGGGATGAAATGGCCACCCCCCCCCTAGTGGGGAGCTCGTGGACTTACCGTCCAAGCCTGCTTTTATTGGGCTCGTTTTGCATAATAATTCAGGTAAAGTACAGTACTCATTAGGGGGAAGTAAGGAACTGTAGAAAACAAGGAACTCTGCCAGTCTATTTTGAGTCGGGGTCAAAAAGCTGTAAGACTTTGAGAAACAAACTAACTTCCTCCTTGGACCCCTCTCATTCAACTGAGAGCATTCTAAACAAAGAAGGTTTCACAGTAATTTACATATTCTTTCTTAGGCCTGATCACCCGGGGAATCCACCCTTTTCAGCACAGAGCTGCACCACCCTGTCATTGTTTCAGGCTTAGGTGGAGCAAGGGAACTAAGGCAACCAAGAGATAAGGAGATTTTCTCCCAGATGGAGAACTCAGGCTTTGTCAAAGCTGAGGAGCGAGGGTCCATTACCCCTTTTGCTGCAGCCCCCCAAGTCCTTCTTTTGGGGGGCCTCCCAAAGTGATCGTGCCTGTCTTAGGTCATTTCCCCCTTGGGGAATCTTACCCGTCTTTGGCTAACCAACCAAGCTTTTTGGGGTTCAGTTATGAATAAAGCAGCAGAAGCAGCATTCCTGCCAGGAAGATAAGCTTTTGTCTCCTTGCTGGCTTAGGGTTCCAAGGGCGTTCCCTTAGCCTTAGCCTACGCAAGGGTTTCAGCTTCTGATACTAGTCAGGGCGGTTCCCAACAGTCTACCACTGTCACAGGAGACACCATACCAAAGTGTGTTTCATTCCTTCCTCCATAATTTTAAGAATGTTTTATGGGTCTGCAGGGATATAGTGTGTTTTGAGGTCAAGATAAATTCTTTTTGTTTTCACACAGGTCTTAATTTGGTTATATTGCAATGAACCACATTGTTTCTGTGCTTTTAAATTTCAATCAAAAAAGTGTTTTCTTTATTGCTTTTGTTTCCTTAGCTAACTAGCCTCAAGCACAGGGTACGTAGGCCAATGTTTACAACTATTTGTTACTCTGGACAGAATTATACTTTCCTATCTCATTGATTTCAGGCTTGGGTTTGACACTGGCTTTGAGCAATAAAATGTGAGTGGAAATGACATGTTTCTGTTACAAGCAGATCTCTAATAGACAGTGTGTGGCCATGTTGTCTTTTCCCTCTACACAATAATCAAAGATGTTTCAGATAAAGGATGTTTCATCAGCTTCTTTGCTCCTTCCTCCAAAATGAAGAGCCACAGTCAGTCTGTTATTGATGCACAGCATTATTGAGAAATAGGCCTTTGTAATTGTAAACCATTGAGAATTGGACCATTTGTTACTACACCATAACCTAACCAGTCCTGACTGATGAACTTGTAAAACTAAGTCTCCATTCAAACATCATAGAGAATTTCTAACTGATTTTTGTTTTAAATGTAAACCATAAGCAGGAAATTAGGTAGAAACTGACCAAGTGATAAGATTATCCTGTGAGAAATGGACAAACAATACATATTTTACTGGGCAAGTAACTAACAAAATAAATTTTATATTTTAGAGATTTAATATAAGAGCAGTGACCAGGTATATTGTAATAAGGAAGACTCATTTTTGTATTGAATAGTGAATTGAAAACCTTCTCAAATATCTGATTCTTTCCATTAGTACTAATTAGTGTGTTTTTTTTTTATATTTTATTTATTTATTTTTAGAGAGGGAAGGGAGGGAGAGAGAGAGAGAGAGAAACATCAATGTGCGGTTGCTGGGGGTTATGGCCTGCAACCCAGGAATGTACCCTGGCTGGGAATTGAACCTGGGACACTTTGGTTCCCAGCCCACGCTCAATCCACTGAGTTACGCCAGCCAGGCTAATTAGTGTGTTTTAAATGTGTATTTAGATGTTTAAATTATTAGTGGGTATTAATATCAAACCAAGTTACATAAAGCTAGAACAGCAAAAGCTGACATGTTATGACCAATTTAAAGTGTTGCATTTCTAGATCAACAAATAATTAGCAGGTGTGATAATGTACATGTCTATATTGATTTAATGAAACCTGATGGTCATCTGTTTTTAACTCTTTACAAAAACAATGACCAGGTCCACTTTAGCTCTTCAATATTTTTCACACCTATCCCTTCCTATCCTTATCACCACTGCTTTGAATCAGGGTCTCCATCACCTCTTAATAAAGCTTTGTAATAGCCCCCTAATGAAGCCCTCCAGTGCTGCTGTCCTATAGGCTATATTTCTGATAACTACTGAATCTTTTTTCTAAAACACAAACTTGAAATTTTTATTTCCTCACATAAGACCCTCATAGTTCAACATCTTCTGGAAGGCAAGGAACAAGCTCCTTAAAGTAGCATACAGGTCTTAGTGGAAGGGCAATGTATCCTAGTGGTTATGAGAATGAGTTCTAGAACCAGATTTCCTAGGTTTGGATATGGGTTCTGCTGCTACCAGCTGAGTGACCTTAACTAAATACTTAGAACAGTATGCCCCTGAAAATGTTCATTTTTATTAGTATTATATGGTTTATCCTTCACTTCCTGCACTTAGTTTCTGACTACTTTGCAATTACTGAAGGGGACTCTACAGTTTCTAGGTCTATTCTTTCATTCCTTTGTAGTGTCTGATACCTCTCTCCTTCTGCCACCCCATCCTTGCCCCAAATTGGCTAATCCGGCCTTATTTTTTAACATCTAGTTCAACAGTTGCTTTAAAACTTAAGATTTAATGAGTTTTGCTTGAATAGGTAGTATATTTCTTTGTCCACTGATATCCATTCATATCTCCATTATAATTATCACATTGTATGACATTCTAATGTTCACATATCTCTTCAAATCTATGAGACCACAGGCAACTTGACAGCAGGAATTACAAATTATATCTCATTTATTTTTGTGCCTGACATAGTTCTCAGTACATAATAGGCACATAAGAAAGATGTTTATTGAATATACAGGAAATTCCCATGTAAGGAAAGAATTGTTATTTTGCAAATAATTCTTGGACCCACTTTATTATGTGGTTCAATGCTGCTTGGCTGATGTTTTTAAGATAAATTTCCTTTAAAATTTACTTCAAGAGAAAGTCATTTCTCTCTTGAATTTCATTGTTGTTATTTTACAGTTCATATTTTTGATCATCTTTTTCTAAGATAAGTCCCTTTAACATTTCATATAATAAGGGCTTGGCGATGATGAACTCCTTTAACTTGACCTTATCTGGGAAGCACTTTATCTGCCCTTCCATTCTAAATGAAAGCTTTGCTGGATAGAGTAATCTTGGATACAGGCCTCTCCTCATTTTTTGAATTTTTGTTTCTTCATTCTGTTTTGATAGAATATTTATTTCTTCCTTCTGCTCTAAATCATTGGTTTGAGTCCCAATTTCCTTCCCTTCACTTTTGGTTCTCTGTATATTTTGCCTTATTTCACTTTGTATAGCCTTTACTTCTTCCTTTATTTTGTGACCATACTCAAAATAGCATCCTGATTACCAGTGTATTGAACTCTGTCGGCATCTGATAAGTTGACTATCTTTCATCAATTAGTTGTACTTGTATTTTTTCTAGAGTTTTGATCTGTTCTTTCATTTGAGGCCTTTTTTTAATTTAGGAGCAATCTGTTACCCAAGGGGCAGAACCTAGGTATTTGCCAGGGTAGAGGAACCTGCATGGCTGTGTTGCAGAGCTGTCTGTGGAGGAGGGGTCCAAGAGGGAACAATGCTGCTTGCTCAGCTCTTGGCAGGCTTTCAGTCTTTTCCCCTGCTACCCACAAGCATATTGGGCCTTTCTGGTGCTGATTCCCAGATGGGTGGGTTTGTGTACATTCTAAGATGCTGTGGGTCTCTCCAATGAACTCTCCTGTGAGGCCAGGAGTTTCTCCCACTGTTGCAACACCTAAAGGTTTTTTTCAGTCAGGGGTTTTGAGGCTTTATTACCTTGCACTGAAACTGTGGGTTGCGTGGTCTGTCTTGCTCCCCAGTTGTTCCTCCTGGTTTATCCTCATGCAAATGTGGGACTACCTGCTCCTCTAGCTACCACCTTGCTGCGAATCTTCTCTGCCCCGGCTGTCCATCTCCACCCCTCCCACTGGTCTCGATGAATGTTTCTTGGTTGTTGGGTTTCCATACACTTCAATTTTCTGGCAATTCTGGTGACTTTTTTTTTTTCAATTTGTTGTTCTTCTTTTGGCTGTGTGAGGAGGCACAGTGTATATACCTACACCTCCATCTTGGCCAGAGGTCTCTCTTGAATTCCTAATGCTTCCTTTTATGGGACAGAGATAACCTAGTTCCCTTTCTTACCTTGATTATCTCTGGTCATAAAGCTAAACTTAATACTCTGTTCCAGTAATTAATTGCCTTAGGTGTATAGTATTTTAATTTTCTTATGTAAGATAAATAAATTATACTTATACTAAATTTAAAATTATTGCAGGTAGTGGTGATTATAAATATATTGAATTTTCATGGTGTAATAAAAGAATAAAAAGGGGCATGTAAATGAAATTAACTATCTACATGAGTATTAAAATGGGCATGTATATTATTTAGAGAAGTTATTCCAATCATTTGTAAATAAAGACTATAACTGCATAAAATTAAATTGAGAAATATAGTAGATTAGTATAATTGTGTATGATTTATAATGATTGGGTATAATGTGTATATATATGGTTTTAGTGTTATAAGAAAATTGTCATTTGAAATAAAGAAGCATATTGATGGACCAAGAGTGTTCTAAATGTATTTGTTATCTAATATATTATAACTGAAGACCTGCTTTTTATAGGACATTAACAAGTACTTCTAAAGAACTGCAAGATAATTTTCTGAAGGCTCTGGCAGTGAGAGAAGAAGACAATCGCAATGGAAAAGTGAGTGTGAGTACATTTCATCCAACAACTAAATGTGTAACTGAAGGCACAAGTTAGTATATAATATATAGTTAGTTCATAATATAACTTTTAATATCTTTCCCCAAAAGTAATTCATGAAGGACATAATATGGCTTTTTATTATTCATATTGTGGAAATGTATGTAGATTTTTTATTCCAATTTATATCTGTAGAAGTAACCAAATGGTGAAAATAAATGATTCTGTATATCTATTGCAGAGAAAATACCTATATTTGGCAGACTGATTATCATCCCCAACTGTGTACTAGTCCCTTATTTAAACTCCCTGCTTCTTTTCAGCCTGACTTCCTCCTAGTAGGCTTCTTGGAGTGACAATATCACTTCTTCCCAAGTTTGCCCCCACCTACCTGATTTCATACTGCCTCTCTCTATATATATAAGACAGTCCTAGAGTCTGCCCTTTAGTCCCTCCTTGGGAGATGTAATAGATCCCATATAATGAAAGACATGCTCTTGTCTTATTTAAATGTGCTACTTTCAAATATGTCAACTTGCTATTTGGAATGCTATTTACTTTTACCCTTCGTTAATGTGATATTAGTGATAACAGTCTTTTGTGAGTCTTAAAATGTTCCAAGTCAAGAACACAGTTTCATGTTGAAACTGTAATAAGTGACTTACAGAAAAGTAATGATAGTAATATAATGAAAAATTTAGAGCAACGGCAAAAAATATGTGAAGAAAGTTTATTTTACCAGAGTTTTCTCAATAAAAAGTAGAAATTTTTCTCACATTCAGGTCTCTTGAAAATTTCACATATCAAATTATCAATGTACTTTACAAAGAATAAAATGGTAGTTTGGCTATATAATTGTATAGAATTAAGTTGGACTTTAAATCAGGGAAAGTGTCTTGAAGGAAGTGGGCTGAGTGAGATTTAAAGATGTGAAGTTGGAAATATGGGCAGAGACTGGATTCTGGATGATTTTGCAAATCACAATAGCAAAGTTTTAAATCTTTTAAGTCTTAGAAAGAGCAGGTGGAAAGGTTGAAAGAAAGGCAGAAAAATGTGGTGTCACAGGAATCTATGATAATGACTTTTAAGAAGCAGCAATCGATGGTTAGTGATCAAGCACTAAAAAAAATCTATTCTCTTCGGCAACATGCATATTTTTAAAAAGTCCAGTCACAGGAATGTAAAGTTCAGCATAGGGAATGCAGTCAACAATATTATAAAAATTATGTATGCTGTAATATAGGTACTAGAAATATCAGGATGGTCCCCTCATAAGATATAAATGTCTGATCACTATGTTGTATAACTAAAACTAATTCAATATTGCATATCAACTGCAATGGAAAGTTAAAATTATTTTTTTAAAAAACAATTTGACAAGAACAAATTCTATCCATAATAAGGATAAAATCAGTTTCCATAGGGTTGAAAACATGCTTCATGTTAGATACCAGCTCCACCAAACAAGAAGTGCCTCAGAGAAAGTAAGTCTGTGTTTTTTACCACAATGGTATATGCTTCCTATCAAATTCTACTGAATATAAGTCAAATCACTTCACTTTCTGCCATTGCAAGTTGTCATTTAGTTTATTTAAATTCCCATTATATCTTAAATAAATTACTGTACCAGCCTCCTAAATGACACACTTAATGCATTTTCTTGCCCAAGTTTCATCCATTTTTAAATCACTGGACACATTGCGTGTGCACCTGCTCCAACCCAAAACTGTTGTAGTCACTTGGGCACTGGGGCACTGCAGATTTTATGACTGTAAAGAGTTTATATTTTAGAAAAGATGACAGAAAATAAGAAATCAAAATAAAAGTGGGACAATTAATTTCACCTCCGGAAAGATGCTTTGGAGAACATCAAATTAGAAAATTGAATAGAGAGTAATCGAATAGGGTGTGCTTGGTTGTTTTTAACTGCTGTATACAGAAAAATCACTTTGAGGAAGTGACATCTTTGGGACTTGAATGAAATGGAGAAGATAACTGTGAAATATGAAGGGAAAGGCACCCCCAAACAATAAATATTTCAGAGGGAGAGATATTCCAAGAAGGAATAACATATTAAAATCTCCCGAGATAAAAGAAATAGAGGCATATTCAAGAGATGAGAAGAAGACCAAAATGGCTGGAATATAGTTATTGAAGGGGATAATAAAGATAGATGCAGTGAGAGAGGAGTCAGCAGCCAGATCATATGGGTTTTAAGAAATTTCTATTTTATTCCTTAATTTTTATATTTATTCTTTTATCATTATAACAGAAAGTTGATGGATGATCTTTAGCAAAGAAATGACCTAATCTGGTTTACACTTCAGAAAGGTTGATCTCGCTGCTGCTGTGCAGGGAAGGAGATGTGGGAAAGAGATTTAGAGCACGGGCAAGGAGATGTTAGGAAGCTCTTACAAACAACCAGCAAGAGATGAAATTTAAAAACTGTGGTAGTGGTTGAGATAAAGGAGATCATCATATCTGTGTTTTGGAGGAAGAGCAGACTGGACTTACTGATGGATTGGATGTGAAATATTAAAGAGGAAATTAGAATGGCTTTTAGGTTTTGGGCTTGAACAAGTAGTCGGCTGAGGTGGCACTTTGACACGGACACTTTTGAGGAATGCTTATTTCTGGAATCAATATCCAAATGGAGAAGCTGATTGGTCATTTACATATATTGATCTGGAACATAGTGTAGAAGTCTTGGATGGAGTATAAATCTAAAAAAGTTATCATCATCTAAATGGTATGAAAGTCATGAACTTGCAAAAGTTTACTAGGCAGAGAGTACAGGTAAAAAAAGACTGAAGTTCTATGAAAAATCTTTAGGACATTCCAACATTTAGAGGTCTGAAATGTGTGAAAGAGGCAGATACTGGGAAGTAGTAAACATGGAGAAAATCAACTGAGAGCAATGCTACAAATATGGGAGAAGAAAAAAATTTCAAAAGAAAGAATGCTCACCAATTCAAATGCTGCTGAGAGGTTAAATGTGATGATATATTAGTTTTCCATGGCTGCTGTAACCAATTGTCACAAGCTGGGTGGCTTAAAACAAAGGGAATTTATTGTCCACAGTTGCGGCGGCTAGAAGTTGGAAGTCAGTGTGTCAGCAGAACCATGCTCTCTCTGAAGCATCTAGGAGGGAATCCGTCCCATGCCTTTCCCTTAGCTTCTTTGCCAGCAATCATTGGTGTTTCTTGGTTTGTAGAGATACCACTAATCTCTGCCCATGTCATCACATTACATTCTCCCTGTGCATCTGAATCTCTGTCTTCTGTTCTTATAAAGACAGACCTATTGGATTATCCATCCCCCCAACTGAATATGACTCAATCTTAACTTTATTACATCTACGAAGATGCTATTTCCAAATAAGTTCATATTCACAGGTACTAGGGGTTAATACCTCAACATAACTTTTGGGGGTGCATAATTTAGCCCACAAAAATGATTAAAAATTAACTATTGTTTATGGCTGGATAAATAAATACATTGGTGAGGGCTATTCCAGTGGAGGGCTGTGGTTAAATATTTCATTAGAGTAGGTAGAGAAAAGGAAAAAGTATGTAAGTGAAGATAAGGAGAAGCAACTGTTTTTGAGAATATTTGTAGTGAAGTGTAGCATAAACAATATGGAACAAATGGTGTAGGGCCTGAAGTCCAGGAAGTTCATTTTGTTGTTTTTAAGGAGGATAATATTAGCTTGTTTCTTACATTAATGGGAATGATGAGGTACACAGATAGGTATTAATGATGTAGGGGAGAAAGGGAATCCTTGCTGCTGGAGAGAATTCCTTAAAAGGAGGGTGGGATCCAGAGCATCAGAGAAGAGTTTGCCTTTGAGAGGGACAGAAGCCACTGGCATGGTTGCAGCCAGAGAGAACAGAGAAGTGATGGGCATTTGAGATAGCTCTCTGGCAAGTTCACATCTATTTTCTCTACATTGTTGCTCCAAATGTTTAATTACACCATTATGATTCTTTTTTGCTCTAGAGAAGTTTCTAAATTTAACTTTTATTCAGAATGCTAAATAGTTAGCATAAAATGTTGGGTGGGTGGTCATTGATTTGGAAACTAGAATTTTGTCAGTCTCATAGCTTGCTAACTGTAAGTATAGCATATGGTCATTTATTTGTGCCTTTGAATTTATTGTATCATTACAATCAGCAGAATACATATTTTTATATCAAGTTGGCACTTAAAGCTTAGTTTTCTGTTTTCTATTTTTGAATTAAAACAGACTCCAAGTGGTTTTATAGAATACCATTTACAACAGAATATAACATATTTTAGAAAGATCTAATTAGGGTCATAATCTTACTTAAAAGCCATTTACCAAATGGATATACTTTTTTTAAAAAAAGTAGTCCTATAAAATATGCAATATTCATGAGATTTAAATTTTATTAATTTTCTATCAGGAGAAACTATATGTGAATTTTATGAGGTCTGAGGTCTCCACAGGAAATGACTGTTTCCTGAGCATTAGCATTTCTCTGCATAAAGTGTGAGTGCAAAATAAATGGAGAACTCCAACCCTGAGGCACATTCGCTGTGCTTTTTCTTTCATCTCATTGAAACTACATACAAGAAAAATTATGATATGGTTTCGGAACTGACATAGTTGACCTGTGTGGTCTGATAAGGCTTGAAGCACTAATTCCATAGCAATTTTCCTAGGGAATTTTCTTTAAATGTAGCTAGGACATTAGAAGATTAGATATACTTTCCCACACATTTTCTATTTTATTTTTTAAGTGGTGATTCTGGTTTGCAAATGCTATTTTGTGTAGCTGAATCTTGTTCTGTATGTCCTCTTTCTCACTAATTGCAAAATTAATGTATTAGTTTTCTCCATTTAGGCCTTGGATTTATTCTCCTATAGAGCCTTGGAGCTCTGGGAAACAGTACTCCTTTCGGTACTCCATCCCCTCCCTGTATTTTCAATGCTTAAGTTATAGAACTGTTTGCTTATTAATACCATTCCCACGGAGCTACTGCTTGGACATGTAGTCTTAGGCTGTGCCCTGGGAAGGAAGAGGGTTATATGA